ATAATTAACCCAAGAAAATTCAAAATGGCCGACATATATATATATTCGAAGGTCAAACTTTTCTGGATCCAGTGTATATATATATATATATATATAGGACGAGTTACCCGACAAGGCAAGTTACTCGCCCACGCGGGACAAACAAGCGGTCCGCCAAAACAAAAAAGGATCTACGTAGTTTGAAACGTTAATGTCATAAAAATAACTACAAGAATATAAGCGCCGAGAAATTCAGGAAACACACCGAATGATTTAATCGTATGTATTTTTGAGCTATGCACAGAGTCACACGTATATATGTGACTGCATTTCAATGGGCGTTTCCACTGATATGTTATGATCCAATTGAAATGGAAAAAGCCTAAAAAATCGTTTTTCAGGCTGATAGAAGAGGGGTTCAGATTATGACTTCCTCTACCGTTATCCGATTAACCAATCAGACGCGTTTAATCTTCCCGATTAACCAATCAAATGCGTATTCAGCCAGTGACAGGTAGTGGAACTCAAATATGAATCTCTCTATCCATATAGTTGGTAGAATTAAATTTCTCTTTACCCCTGTTGTAACGCCATGCATATTAAGGGCTGGTCAATATTTATGGCGGAACGGGTAGCATCGCGAACAGAAATATTTTTCTTGGTAAAAATTTTGCTCATCCAACCATAAAAAATTCAGAATTTTTCTTTACCCAACCTCGAATATCAATTAAAAAATAAATACCCACCCCTGGCCAAAAACTTTACAAACTGAGAATACCATTCAGTTGTCACACATGTCCTTTACCACTTCTGTCACACAAGTTTGTTGACTGCGTGTGCAATTTTCTACAGTGTAAAATTTCATTTTGTTTGCACGTGTGTTCTCTTTGGAGACACCATTTGCCTCCCGACGAACCAGAAATTGACCAAGATAGTGACTCTGATTGATTCACATATTGCCAGCATGCATTGACATGCATACATGACGTTGACATTACTTTTTAGTCTTCAATATTTGAGTGAGTCATGCTTTGGAAATGACAATATTTTTTTATTACCCAATCCTTGAGTGGTTTTTTATTTACCTCAAAATTTTGTTTACCTAACCCTTTTCTCTTCGGCGCCACCCACCGCTAAAAATAATGACCGCCACCTAAACCAACAGCAAACTAGTCTGACTGTACGTTCTTTTTGTCGAAATATTTCAAAACGTGCAGGTAACTTCAAACTTCGTCCCAGGGCTTCGTGAACGAGGTTGGGTCAGTTCCAGAGGAAGGGTCTTCTATTTTTCAGATAACTTGATCGTACAATCTCTCAAGAATATTCTCAAATATTTGCATGCAAATTTAGCATAGAAAGCTCTTTGTTTTGACTTATATTTGTGTATTATTAACCCCCGCCAACGCAAACTCCTATCTACTTCCAATTACGTCATTTTGTCAAACTTCCGCTACCTCGAGACCATCTTTACATTCTCCAAGTTGTGTTGAAATATGTTTGAAACAGCCGTCAAAATATCATGTTCTCACAACCTTACCTAGATTAATAAAGAAACTGTTAAATCTTGGCATTTTCTGGTCATTTCTATAGATTGAGCAACTATATTTCAGATCATTCTTAACTTTTTTAAAACAATGTCAAAAACACAAAAGCTCCCCATGCAAATTTGCCATCTTTTGTGTTGATTTAACCATGCATATGCATTCAAATAACTTGGTCTGTTGAATATTATATCATCAAAAACACATAGTTACATTTTACTCAAATTGCCGCGTCACAAACATTAAAGGCAGTTTCAGGCGATATATTTTGCTAAATATCAAGATGATAGACCCTGTAAAGGATTTTTTAGTTCCGAAAAGATTTAGTATTGTCGCCTATCTATGTATAATTGTTCATTTCCTTTGTGGATTGGTATTAATTGTTGTTACAGTAGCTTTGAGAGATAGCGAGAACTGGAAATTTTCTTGTTTTGTTGATGGTAAAAGTACGGCGATGTACAAGAAACAGGTCGATCAGGAGTGTTTTGCGAGATATGATCAGACTTACATCTCCCTTCTACCTTTGTATGGCTTTGTGTTACTGAGTATTGGTTTCACAGTCGTTGTCAGTGTTATTTATTCACTGCTAGTGAGCACCCGCGTCGTCGAAATAAAGTCAAGCTATGAACTACGAAAGAGAGCGAGGACTACGAAAGAGAACGAGGACTACGTGGTACTGAATCGGGGAACGTTTGTTATTTATTTATATTTTATCCACCTCGTTTTGCGTGCGTTATTTATAATCTCTTTAACTATTTTGCAACATTCATATTCTATCCAAATGGTTTCGATTCCAAATTCAGCTGTAATTTACCACGAACGTATCAAGTAACATCCAACATAAATACACCAAAGAATGCGAATGGTACATTAGTAACATGTAAGAATGCGACAGCGTCAGAAAAATGGTTAACAGGCATAATTGTGTCTGTAATGAACAGCATTGTTGCCGCAGTTACACTTGGGGAAGTGATTTATCTTTTGCCACGTTTACCTATCTTCAAACGTTATTCTGGAGTTGGCTGGAGCGGTGATTTTGAATTTGTCACCATTTATTTTCTAAGAAGCGACAATCAGAACCTTCAGGAATGTATAGATTTCTATAAACAACAAGTTTGTGCACTTGATTTAAATGATTTTCATATTGGCGTTGTTATCCACACTAAACGAGCTCAACACGAGTTCTCAAAAGAGATGAACAGACACGAAATCTACAATGTTCATACGGAAGTTCCATCGAACTCGATACGTTTAGAAAATATTAAAGATTTATTTTACCCCGACGAAGATACAAAGGGCAATTCTCCTCACAGCATTCTGGCGATTGTAAGGCCTGGGATTGGAAAAACGATCTTGACCGAAAAAATTCTCCGTGACTGGGCTAATGAAATTGATGAATATTATTCTGACAAGATTGCCTTCTTTTTCAAACTCAGATGGTTCAATGACAAATTAACAAATTTATCTCTTAAGACATTTCTTCAGCTTGGAACGAGCCTGAACGAAGAAAAATTTGAAAGTATTTATGAAGAAATTGCAAAAGAGCCACAAAAAGCCATTCTTATTTTCGATGGTTTAGATGAATTTCATGGCAATCCTATCAGTTACTCAGATCAATCAAGGATGATCCCAAACGACCCTAATACTTGTATGTCTGCAATGAATTTATTCATTAATCTGATGTTGGGCAATTTGTTGAAAGGAGCAACCGTTGTAGTAACAAGCAGACGGACTGTAGATGATTTTTATTCCAGGCTTGATTTTGATCGAAATGTGGAGATTACTGGTTTCACCCGGGATAAAATCAAAGAGTACGTCAGCCGATTTTGTGATAATAATAACAGAAGCGACCTTGAATCAAGGATATGGAGGCATATCGAATCCTCACCAGGACTATTGAACTTGTGTTATACTCAAGTCCAGTAAACTGTTTCATCGTATGTGTTATCCTGTTTGAATGTCTTAGTGACCCAAGAAATGATATCGGTGCTCCTCCAACAACTCTGACAGAACTTTACCAGACAGCCGTAGATCATTTTGAAAATTATCATCACAGAAATACAGACAAAAACCCTACTATAACGGAGGAAGCGTTAAAGGAACTTCAACGATTAGCATTCGGCGGTATGGAAAATGGGCAGCTGGTCTTTAATCAAGAATTGTTTGATGAGCAAATGAAAACATCCGGTTTATTGAACAGTTTATCCAACCCTATTTTTCCAATTCAAACACAATTTTGTTTTTTCCATTTAACCATACAAGAATTTCTTGCTGCAAAGCACGTAATTGAAACACTCGCTCCACTCGAAATAAAGAAGTTTATTTCCGACCATGTTAGAAGTGGTCAATGGCATTTAGTTCTTCAGTTCCTTGCAGGACTTTTGGGCAAGAAAATCAATAATTTTGATCAAGAATACACGGATTGTGTTTTCGCGTTTGCGGAAGGCCTCGGAGTTACTAATGGTGAAATTCAAGTTAATTACAACGAAGTGTTTGTAATGACGTGTTTAAGGGAAGTGGACGATGAAGAGATTGTTAAAGACGTTTGCGAGACCACTGCTCTAAACGATGTTGTACATCTCCATGGTGGTTCACATATTGTTTCTCCAAGTGAGTGGGTGGCGAGAAAGTTTGTTTGCAAGCACATGAAGAATTTAAAATTGAATAAGGATCAAGGTGAGTATCAACCTTCCATGCAATATAAAGGCAAGAAGTCCTACTATTGTACATGCGAAATGTGATGACTTTTTGTTATGAAATGAAATTTAAAATTCGAAATATATGAGTTGTTGTTTATGTCACTAAACGAAAAGTGAATAATTGCCATTTGAAATAAGCATTGTTAACCCATTGAGTGGCAGTACTTTCCCCGTGACGAGTAAAATCGTCTGGCGTTAGTAGAGTAAAATAATCTGACGTTAGACAGAGTAAAATAGTAAAGATTGTGTTGGCATATCTCACTCGATTGAATAATAATAGTTGAAGGGTCTTGTAGATGGAAATTATTGAGTGGAAATTTATATTCATTTATAAGATCTAACCAGGAACAGTTGCAAAAAAGGCAATTTTAGGTCCCTGGCAGGAATCGAACCTGCAGCCCCGATGATTCCGGTGCCCCAGCTCTAACGAAGTGAGCTACAGAGGCCAGTTGTCGTGCTCTAACCACAAGTTCATGTGCATATATTCGGGTACTGCCACGTATCGAACCAGCGGCCCTGCGATTCCGGTGCTGCGCTGGATAATTTCCATCTACAAGAACCTTCAACAATTCAATTGAGTGAGACGCAAACAAAATCTCGATATTTACCCATAACCTAAATATGGCACTACCCCAGTATATATACATGAACTTGTGGTTGGAGCTCGACAACTGGCCTCTGTAGCTCAGTTGGTTAGCGCACTGCACCGGAATCGCAGGGGTCGATTCCTGCCAGGGATCTACAGTTGCAATTTTCGCAGAGCTGTTCCTGATTAGGTGTAATAAATGTATATAAATTTCCACTTGATAATTTCCATCTACAAGATCCTTCAAAAATAAGAAAGTAAGCATCAGGGCGCATTGCCACTTAAAGGGTTAACCACCAATCTGATTGCCATTGTACCCAACCTAAAGGTCCTAAACAGCCCTTCCTATACCCAGGAACTACGGTCTAGATATTGAGTTCTTTAATTCGTACTACTTTGTTGGTTTTTGTTTATTTAGATTGAAGATTTACAAATTAATGTTTTGTCTAACGCCTCTACCGGGAAACCATTTTCAAAAATAAATAGATAAATTGTATTGAAGAGAATTAACGCAATATATAACTAATTATACATTGATACAATTATTATATATTGCTTGAGTCTTCTAAATCACATTAAGTTGCATAATTCTAGCTAGTGCAAATACTTTGCTCTGATTTGTGTGCAAAGCAGTTATTTGGGTAGCAATGATAAAAATAAGAGTTGGCTATTTTTTATATTTTATCCCCGCCCCCCTATAATAGAACGCAGACTAATTGGCAAGCATATGTCTTGTCTTGTTTACTTTGCAGAAAGCCCAGAATCGTGGAAATGGTAAGAGAATTCGATAATTCATCGAGAAAAGTTCATCAAGTTGCTCGAATATGGACAAGAGCATCCGGAAGAGATCAAGAATGTCAACGGAGTACGCGTTTGTTGCTCGAAGGAGTTTCTCATCGGTAGGGGAAGCGATGCTACTAGAGTTTTTATAGGATTGGGAAAAGATGGGTACGAGAGGACTGTAAAACGTTTGCCCAGAGATGATTGCGATTGCTTAGCTGAACAGGAAAAGAAAGTTTTGTATCAACTCAACACAACCGAGTCAAAGTATGTGGTAAAGTATCGCGGGTTTTTAGACGAGAAAAGCGACAAGGACTGGTTATTTCTAATCATGGACTTATGCGAGGAAACGTTGAAAGAATTTGTTGAGCGCAGCAGTTTGGACGATCTAAAAACAAATGCGCAAACTATCATTCAGCAAGTTTTAACAGGATTAGCTGATCTCCATCGTGATCCAAAGCCCGTTTTGCATCGTGACTTGAAACCATCCAACATCTTGCGAAACGTCAACGATAAATGGTTGCTGGCCGACTTTGGCATCAGTCTGATCTTGACGCAAGAAGTAAGTACCTTTCGAAGCAAGGAGAGGGGAACAAAAGATTGGAAAGCCGTTGAATCGTGTTCTACGAATGACATGTCTGATGATGATGATGATGACGTGCGTTACAAGAAAAACTCCGATATTCAGGTAGAGTTTTGTGTAATAAATATCAACATCTCATAAATAAATAATTGATAAATATCAATATCAATATCTCGATTGAATAATAGTTGAAGGGGTCTTGTAGATTGAAATTATATCGAGTGGAATTTCATATATATTTATTAGACCTAACTAGGAACAGCTGCGAAAAATGCAACTTTAGGTCCCTGCCAGGAATCGAACCTGCGATTCCGGTGCAGTGCTCCAACCAACTGGGCTACATGAGAATCCAGTTGTCGAGCTCTATAACCACAAGTTCATGTATTATACTAGGGTACTGCCATATTAGGTTATGGGTAAATAACATGGCAGTACCTCAACCAATGAGATTGCAGAGTACTGTAGCTCATATACGGTTACTATAAAGCCCCGTACAGACGAGCTGAGCACGTTTTCCTTGACAAATGTTCCTTAATTAATGGCAAGTTTTATTGACTTTTGTGCACGGCAAAAATTGACAACTTTTCCTTACCAAATAGCCTTGTTTCAAATATCTATGGTTTTCACAAAAGGCGGCCTTGACGTGAGATAAATGTTTAGTTCCGTGCACACGAGCAACAAAACTTGTCAAGGGAAACTTGCTCGTCTGTGCAAAACATTGCGTTTGTTCCTGGCAGTACAAGAATTTCTTTGAAAAGATTTTCGTATCTATGATTTGTAACATACAATTTTCCTCTGTCATGTTTAGGTGGCCGGAATGGTGGCATTCTACATTGTGACAAAAGGTGAACATCCCTTTGGAGAAGAACCTGACCGACATCGCAACTTACTTGATGGTAACCCAGTTTATTTGGAGAAGTTGAAAAAAGATCCTGCTGCAAAAGATTTGATATCCTGGATGCTGAGCCACGATCCCAAAGATAGACCTTCTGCCCAAGAAGCGCTGAAACACCCTTATCTACAATCCAATAAACAGCAGTTTGAAATGCTGTGCAAAGTGGGAAACCAAGAGGATATCTTGACAGGGAATGTCAGATCAGATGTCGTGCGAATGTTGAATAGCGATCCCAAAGATTGGAGATCTCTGTTGAATGCCGATGTTCTGAAGTATTTAAGCACTGATCCTTTGAAGGGGAAAACATTTCGCTATAAGTCGTCTTGGACGGACTGTTTACGACTTATCCGAAATGTCAAGGAACACTGGCATCACCGCCCAAGGCCGCGACCCGAATTATTCTATCTACTGGGCGATCCCCAAGAGTACTTCCTTAACCTTTTCCCCAATCTTCCTGTCGTGGTACACGAAATTATCAGGTCATGTGATTGGAAAGAACGATCTGACTTTCAGGAGTACTTCAGTTGAACAACAGTATATGCACGGATGAAAATTAGGAAGTTATTCCAAACGAGAAAAACAATTTGCAGCAAACCTGTTATCAGGGTGTGTTCGCACTTCTGGTTCTAATCCATTATTACCACGGACGGTATTATTTGAGAAGTTTAGATTTTGACTTTCACTACCGCATTAACCAATCAGATGCGTTTATTCCACCCAATTAACCAATCAAATGAGTGCTAAGCCTGTGAGATGTAGCGTTAGTGCGGAAGTCAAATCTCAACATCTCTCTTATCAGAGGTGTAGATTTTGATTTCCACTACCGCTACTATTAAGGGATCATTGACCAATCAGATGCGTTTAATCATCCCGATTAACCAATCAGATGCGTGCTTAGTCAGTAAAAGGTAACGGTGGTAGTACAAGCGAAATCTAAACTTCGCCAGTAGAGAGTTTGAGGAAGACAGCGAAGTACGAAGACATATAGAGCGCATGACTATACGAACTGCCACTTGTAAGAACAGAGAGATTCAAGAACTCATTTATAAATAGATGTCTTTTTAATTTTATCGGACACATAGCATATCTTAAAGACTTTTATAAATTTAGAACATTAGATTTTTAGAATCATTAATTTAAATATTCTAATATAAATAGATAATCTAATATAGAACGCGTAATTCATGTAAACTCAAACGTGTGCTTTGAGAATCTAATAAAAACTTATTAAATACGACTCAATTCGGACTCGTGCTATTTTGAGGTCTTTGAAAAACTCACCCGTGCATGTTATATTTTATGTCCAAATTGCACTCGAAACCATGCTATTACCCTATATACTTACTGCATACTTGACAATTTTGCCCGTCTGCACATTATCTTACTCATACACTCCAAAAAACGCCTAGCCTGTAACAATGTTGTTGAAAACAGGCCTGAACAATATTTTAACAATATTTTGCTATACCCATATTGTTCCTGGCTGTTAAGTTTGTTTAATTTGCTGACCACGTCGTCGCCTTTCCGTTCTCCCCGCGAAGAATATTCAACGATGCCTGTATGTATGTCAAAGCATTTATGCAATAGAGAGGTTTTAAACAACTCTTGCAAAGTTGGTACAGATGCAATAAGCATTTGTTCCCATGTTGTTTTATTTTACTCTTGAGAGCGAAGTGTTTTCTGTCTTTTGAAAACAAAAAATGCAGTTATGTGCTATTCTCGCTCGCTGCATATTTTAGAACTTGCACTTGTAATAGGAGTGCCAGGACACTTACTATATGAATATTAAGACACGTTCTTGTTAACATTTTTTTGTTTTGGGGGAAAAATATGTTCGATACAGTTCATTAATATGGAAAACAAACCATTGCACAGTTAGTCTCTGCGCACCCTAAAGGTGTTGCACGTAACAACGGGCGTGGGAACTACAGCGCCTACCAACATTTATTTACGGGGATACATATAAATTAATAGATATAACAAATTAATAGATGTAAATTATCAAATTCACAAGAAACCTTTTTGCCTCCCTCCCTTCCCCCACGTATCCTTGTGCAGTCCGCCAGTCCCCCACCTCCCACCTTCAGGGGCGAAACTAGCCCCTTTTAATTAGGGGGGTGTCTGCCAGAATTGCCCTGCGAAAGCCGATGATGCTAGGCCACTATTCCTCCCGGGGGGAGGGGCGAAAAAGGGGCGAAAAAATTTTTCCGGACATAAACCAATTACATTAAAGGTCAAAAAAATTTTTCCGGACAAATTTCTGTTAAAACATGCATGAAACCCTTATTTTTTTACCAATATCTGTAAAATTTAGGTCTTTAAATTCTATTCAATTCCCTCTGGAAGCTACTTGATCTACATTCTATCATTTAAAATCTTTCATTGCCCTGCCAATCCAGATGATTTGCCCTGCCAATCCAGATGATTTGTACTTTGGGGGTGTCACACCCCCCCCCCCC